AAGTCTCTGAGCCCAGCTTTCATGCCTAAGGCAGGACAAGAACTCACGGTCTCCTGGTGATTGTGTCAAACTCACCCAGCCCAATTTTCATGTCTAGAGCAGGACTAGAACTCCCTGTCTCCTGGTGATTGGCCTCAAGTCACTCAGCTGTCTTTCAGGCCTAAGTAATCTTTATTGGCACCATGCATCCCAGCCCCATGATTCACTGATTAAAGGATTTGAGACCGGTGACATTCATTTAGATCCGTGACGTTTCTCCGGTGCTATTCTCAAAGGCCTCCTTGTTGAGCAAGGAGGCTCTTCTAGGGTGTGACTAGGCAAACTGGTAGCTGGGCTGCTCAAACTTTTTTAAAAAAAAAACCTTTTCTAACATGTGATGAGTGGCAGGATAAGCAGTTGGGGAGAAATGGGTCCAACCAGCTCGACAGGCCGAGCATGAACAGCAAAACTTGCTTGGCAGATTTCACTGAAGGTTCGGCTTCAGAGTGTGGCTGGTGGGGACGAGCAGTTGTCAGTGACTCATTTGTGGTCTCTGATGTTGGCAGACAAGCAAAATGTGGCTTAAACCTTGCCCTAACTTGGTTAATCTTCCACTTCCAACCAACAGTTGGGATCAGGACTTCCCAATTGCTATCAATCAATGGAATGGAAAAGGAAAAGGAATAAGGATAGGATAGGATAGGATAGGATAGGATAGGATAGAATAGAATAGAATAGAATAGAATAGAATAGAATAGAATAGAATAGAATAGAATAGAATGAGGAATAAGAAGAAAAGAAGTGAATAAGGAATAAGAATCGGATAGAATAGAATAAGGAATAAGAATAGAATAAGGAATAAGAATAGAATAAGGAATAAGAATAGAATGAATAAGAATAGAATAAGGAATAAAAATAGAATAGAATAAGGAATAAAAATAGAATAGAATAAGGAATAAGGATAGAATAGAATAGAATGGAATGGAATGGAATAAGAAATAAGAATAGAATAGAGGAGAATAGAATAGAATGAAATCAGAAATCAGAAATCAGAATAGAATAGAAAAGAAAAGTGAATAAGGAATAAGAATAGAATAGAATAAGGAATAAGAATAGAATAAGGAATAAGAATAGAATAGAATAGAATAGAATAGAATAGAATAGAATAGAATAG